AAGACTCAAGCATACTGAAGCAAACTGAAGCACTCAGAGACAGTCTAGAGAACACTCTTTAGTACAGTGAAGCAAATAATACCGATAATAATAATATTTCATATAAAAATAAAATTTCCTCCACAATTAACAAAAATAAAGACAAAAGTGCATAAGAAAATTACTAAGTATGAACTGATAAAATGTTTACCGTGAATGTGATATAAGTCAGATAAAAGTGTCTGCCAAATGCATAAATGTTGACTAAAAACTAAAATTAAATATGTATTTATTTATTAAATAAATGTTAAACAAATGTTAAACTAAAATTAAAATAAAAACTAAAAGCAATATAAAAATATAAAATTAAAGCAAATTCAAAATATTAATAAATACTATAATAGTATATAAATAAATGCTACTGATTTATGAAAAAATAAAAGAAGCAGGTTGCATTTTATAAAAAAATGATTGATTACCTCCGAACATGTTCGTCTTTTATGTTTGCAGCCTGTTTCGCTCCTTGACTCAACAATCAGGTGAAGTATGAGGTAATATTTACTCGCATTGAAACATAGCAACCATCCCATCAGCATTCACTCTGAGTTTGACACTTATTTTTGTTCTGGCTCATTTGCTGTATTATTAATGACAGACCCTTTCACTGTAAGTCAAAGAATATTTGATGAAGTAGTTGACAACTGATCAGCCGTATGTTACATTAGTCCTGTGGTTTCCCCATTCCATATATCTGCTGGAGATCGGAGTGCCCTGTGTTTCTGCGTGATAATTGATCCAGGAAAGGTAAAGTTGACATAAACCAATTTTTATGGTTCACACTCAATAATACTCAAGTTACCATAAACTCTACACCAATAGACTGTACATTCTCAGTTAAAGATGTTGCTAAAAATAACATTATTTTGTGTATTTGATGTAATGAAATGTGTTTATGCGGTTTAAGGTTCAAAAAACACATTATTTTCCACATAATGTACATTATTGTTTCTCCTCTATGCCCCGCCTTTCTGAAACGCATTGATTTTTACAAAGCTCATCGGTCTGAAAAGCGAGGTGTGCTCTGATTGGCCAGCTATCCAGTGCGTTGTGATTGGCCGAATTCCTCAAGCGTGTGACGGAAATGTTACGTCCCTTATTGTGATGTCCCTTACCATATTGTGATGCCTGCGGCAACCACATGTGACGACCCCGGGCTGGACTCTGCTTCGTCCACGGTGAAAGCCGATTCGGCGATCGACAGCGCGAAGTTGAAGTATTTCCTCAGCAACCAGCACAGATCAGCTCCAGGCATGACGAATCGATATCGTCCTCTTTTGGAAGACCAAACAAAGTAGTTTCGCTTTCACAACGAAGCACACAG